AAGTGCGTCCCGGGGGACGGCGGGTTCGAGCCCGGGCCGCGGAGCCCGCGCAGCCGGAGCAGGTGCCCGGGCAAGGAGCCGCGGGTCCGGGGGGCAGCGCTGGGCGAGCCCCGGTGGACAAAGCCCGGGCTGGGGGCAATGCAGCAGGGACTGGGGGGGATCCGGACTCGTTTTCCACGTTGCTTGTGCAGGCGCCACTTCTGCTTTGATCCCTAGAAAGTTGATGCAGCAGCAGGGGAGTCTTCCCCTTTTGCCGGGCAGTGAGGTGAAAGACGCAATCCGGAGGAACGGTCTTTTTTTTTCTTTTAATTATCATTCTTTCCTGGAGGGTGGTCTTGCGTGTCTGGGCCAGTCTGCGCCATCTCCCGAGAGCTTCAAGCGATGGGTGCCCCGATAGAAGGACGCTGCGTGCGCCTGTGGGTTCGTGGCTGTGGTGTTGTTGGGGGACCCGGCAGGGCCCGGCTGAGGGCGATGGGCGAGCCGCACGCCTTGGTGCTGGCCCCTTCCAGTAGAGAGGAGAGCGAGACGTCTCGCGTGAGCTTTTCCATTCGATACTACAAATGAACAGTAACAACAAAAAAGATTTTACTGATTGCTTGGCTCACCCCTAGCTCGGCTTACTCGCCAAAAACCGCGCGCGTTCCTCCAAGAATGAAACGTAGCGATTCGGCAATCCTACCCCGACTGCTTCAAGACACGATAAAAATTGAGACTGTGAAACATGGCCACTTGGGCGCACCCACGATAATCACTGCATTTGTACGTTGGCCCCACATCGTAGAAATTAAATGAGATCTACCAAATCAACCCAAGAAATTCCTACCGGGACGCCTGAATTACGGGCACGATGCCCATCTGTACCTGGAGTCGGCATAGTTTGGTCCTCTTCCTCTTGCTGAAATCTTCAGCGCTTGAGATTTACAGGAGGGTGGCTGGAAGGGAAAAGGAAGGTGTAAGAAATCAGTGTCAGGAGCTGGAAGTTGATCTAGGAGTAGGGGTTCAGCTTTTAGGATGACGTTGCCAGCGGTATGCCATCCAGGGCTGTTATTAAGACTGTTGTTCCTGTTATTTTGTTCTGCATATCATTTTGACACCCCTCGAATTTAGGTGCCCTAGGTGACTGCCTAGTTTGCCTAATAGTTGGACTGGCCCTGGTCCTTGTTAGGGGCTGGACGGGTCCTTACCAGATCATCGTAGTTAGGGGCTGGATGGGACCACGCAAGTCTTTCCTACTCCTTGCACTTGGGTAGGAAAGATGGCTGGGGTCATCTGACCCTGGCAAAGCAGGCGTCAGGACGCTTTTTGAAGGGTTGGCAGCATCTTGCTAACTGTCAAGTGCTTGATGTGTGAACTTTTTAAGTAAACATCCTGCCTGTTTCGAAAGAACTTTAAACTGAGCAAACGTGAAGAGGCTGGGGAGGTGACTGCCACTCCAGTAGGCATTGGTACTTGCGGTACCCTGGCACCGAGGCTGCCAGCTCAAGGCAGAAGCAGGTAATTGTGTTGAGACAGATGTCTTCGTAGCAGAGAGCTGCTTTCAGAAACAAGACGCGCATTATTCGGCATGTTCAACGACCTCTGAACTGAACGCAGTCTGATCAGCGCACTTCTCTGGTCCTACCAGCAAATGCTTTTATTACCTTTTCAGTTTATAAATCTAGGCTTCTGCATCCTTCTTGAAACCTTGCTGCTCAGCATGGGTGTTGTTTTACAGAAACTTCGTAGTTGTCTTGCCAGTTGTAAATACCTGCGAATTGGGAGCTGTTACACCTGGGGAAAGTGCTCTGGTGTCTGTAGATCAGAGAAGCACTGTACAGCTGTTTATTTCCATTACCTGTGATGGCACAGCTTAAAAATCAGTAGACTGCCATCTCGAATATCTTGTTTGTACCATATGCATTTGTTGGGGGGTGGTATTTTTGGAAGGGTGGGGGGGGTGTTCATTCAGAAAGACCTAATGAATAGTAATCCTGATTTTTCAGTGATGACAATAACAACTTTCATGAACAAGCAAAGATTCAGTAATTGAATAATATGTAAATGTAACACACACAATCCTCTCGTACTTTGTAAGGCTTTGCCATATAAATAACCTTGCTGTATGCTTCAGAGGCCTACATATTATTTAGCCCTTTGGGGTGGGGAAAGATCTTGGGTGCTGAGCTGGCAGAATAGTGAGTTACTGTGTTGATAGCTCTTATTTTGTAGCTCTCAGATCTGATATCCCCTTTGCTGTTACCCGAGTTGTTAAAGCAGATGCTCCTTTTCTGTAGCTGCCTAGGTAACAAAGGCAGCTGACTAATAATGGAATGTAATCTGTAGAGCTTTTTCTCTAGACATCTTCCAATACATGCATGGAAATGTAGGGATTTAAACAAGAATGACTGGTATAAGATTAGGAAGCTTAGTTGTAGCTGATGCACATGCTCTACTCCATTTGCAAAATTGTCATGATGATTTGCTGGACTCAACCTCATTCACCCTTGTGATAATGGGGGGGAACACTAGTTCACTCTTAAGTAGCCTTGTCAAAATCCTCCTTTCTGGACATGCCCATGTTCCTCTTCTGTCTCCTTTAGTAATGATGAACTCTTCAGAGCAGAGTTGCCTACGAATTGTTCTTGTGTTTTCCAGGGTATCTTTGTATTAAACACACAAACTACTAATATTCATAGTAGAAAAAGAAGTTGCTTCCTGGTGGGGTCACGACATGAATTACCCAGATTGGGGCAAAGGAAGCTCACAGATACCTGAAAAACATGTTGAAACTTTAAGCAAAAGAGGAGTAAGCGGCAGTATGATTGTGTGAACGTCTGCATGAGAATGCTATGTGTTCACTCCAGCAATCTGGGATTCAAGCAAGCTTCATTGCTTCTGTCTAGGGGAGGAGGAGTGGAAACCAACAGCTGCTATAGCAGGAATCGTTGCTGGAATTAGTCCTAATTGATTTAATGTAGATGTGGCTTTGGGTGAAGGAGTGGCATCTGAATTGTGGATGTGTTCTTATTTGTCACACCTCAAAATGATAACTGTCAAAGGTTAGATAACAGCATGTTTGCGTGTTAGAAACCTAAGCATGCTACATGCCATAAATGTGCCGGTAAACTGGTGTCGCTGGCAGTGACATGTTGGGTTTTTACTTCTTACCTGTTTTGTTGAAGACAGCCGACATGGTCTGATCTTAAGCAGGGCATACTGGGGACTTCATCCTGCTCCGCGCAGGTTTGGAGCATTAAACGTGCATGTGCGCTCTAAAGAGTGAGGGACAAGATGAGGAGTAGGGGAACCTGATCCTGTCTTAATTAGCAGTTGTGTGGCTAAGGAGAGGGTGTATTTATGTTACTATTATGCATACACCCAAATTTCAGGTGTGCCCTTGGTGGTTAGTGGCTAGAGGCTTGACTATTTTCTATCCTTGGAGTTTCTTTGCTCAGAGATCTTTGCACGGCAGCCACTATGTGTATGCAAATTGTGGCTTTGCCTTCACTATGGCTCACACACAAGCGTCTATGGCAGCATTGGCTTTAATGGAGGCACACCACAACATGTAGATAGAGACTTATTAATACAGAGGAACAAACCTAGAGCTTAACCACTTTTGCTTTCTCTAACCTCCACCCTTTCTGAAGTGCAGCAGAATTTCAGTATCAAGATATCAGTAACTACTAGTTGAACCCGTGCTTTACTGCAGAAGATTTATTTGATTTTTTTTTTTTTTTTAATGTTATTTTTGATAACCTTTTGTCGTTGTCGTCATCATCTTCACTTTATGGTCTATGCATCATTGCCTGTTCCAACTTCAAAAGCTTTCAGGCCATCCTTTCCATCTGCTTTCTTTTCTTGTAGACTGCAACTGAAATTTTTGACCTGGGTGAGATAGCCGCCCCCGCGATCTGGCCTCTGGCTCTGGCCTCGGGGATAAGAGATTTAAGTTATATAGATTATGTCAGTTGATGTGCAAAATGCTTTGGAGCTTGGAGGAATCGAGCCACTAAATGGTGTGATATCCTGAGGTCTGGATTCTTCCTTTCCAATCTAGAAAGGGTTTCTTGCAAGTCGACATTGCTTTTGTTTATGGAGGTTTGAGGAAACAGGTCCCTGAACGCTGTGCCTGCCCTATCTTGCAAAATATTTCAGTTTACATGGTATAATAATTTTAAAGGTCCAAAACAATCGTGCAAAATCAAGCCAGAACTGATACTACTACAGTAATCCCCCTGTAATTGTGTTAAGAGATTTGTAATTTGCCCCTTCAGTTCCAGTGTGCTCTTAGGCAGAGTTAACACAGTGTCTCAACAAATAGGCTGTTGTCCTGGATACATGTCTCTACAGATGACACAACATATTAGGGATGTTTCCTCCAGGTTAACATGCAGATAGTAGAGATATGTATGTAGCTCCACTTTCATCACTCAGGCAGCAGATACCTTTTGCCTTGCAACTTCGTGGAGAAAGCAAGCTGTCTTGCCAAACAGAACTAATAGCGTGCTCTCTGCCAGGTCTGACCCTCTGTTTTGATCTAATTGCAATAAAAACATGAACGTCTTGGAAAAACGCAAAAATGGGCTTCTTATATGGGATTTCTCAAAGGATCTGAAACCCTCCAGCTCTTTACGTATGGGAATCTCTCTTAAGTTGTTGAATGGTGTTCGATGAAACCTGAATAATTGTTACCACTTTGCTATATCAGCTTCAAAGATCCTTGGTATACTTGACAACTTAAAAAAACCATAGTTTACTTGTTTTTACTTTAAAAAAAAAAAAAAAAACCAATCTGGGTTTTTAGT